TGTAACGTTATTATTATGATGGATTGTATATTAAATTGTCAGTTTGTGTACCTCGGCTGATTCCTGGACGAGGATTTTATGCACAAATAAGTTCGGAAATTACTAGTGAATTTCCGGGCGTGACAGGTATCATAGCCCAGTCCACTTTTTGCAGCCAATGCCCACAAAGTTACAAAATCAAGGGCAAATAGCAGCTATGTCTAAGTCCAAACTTAAGCTATCAAATTATGATTAGAGGTTCAACATTACAGAGGACTTGGTTCTCATAATTAAGCAGCAGTCTTTAAAAAGTGAATTGACAGAGCTTAGGCAAGCTTCTTCTGCTCTCTGGTTGCATAGCTGTTCATTTTTTCCTTGTTTCATCCTGTGTATGTGCTGCCAAGCAGCAGCAAGTCCTTGTTGCCTACCTTTTTTATGTTGCTACATTACAAATAAATTAGTATATGCAACGATTTTATATAGGAACAAGCCCTATGAATTGCTACAAATTAACAAGCACCAGGTACAGTTTCGTAGCAACCAAGCCTCGCGACCCGCCGCATTGGTATACTGTATCACCTCCAGCTAACCTGTTTCTCCCCCCATTTAAAGATTTCTTCCTAAATTCAGGTTTACTCCAGTGCTCACAAAGTAGACGCCAACCCTCTTGAGTAATTGAAAAATCCTTTGGTTTAGCAGAAATCAAAGCTTGCACAGTAGGCCAATGGTTACCATGCATCCTCATCAACATCCTCTATTGGTACATTGCCTTTTTTATATAACATATTGGTAGCTATTTTCTTCTGTTCGAACAGCACCTGTGGCACTTCCTTCTTGATAATATACCTTTTTAAATTTCAGATTGCATTGCATCATGCTTACAAAGAGGAAAATATTAATAAAATATGGCAACATTTTGAACTAAGATGTTTGTGCTGCTGAATTTTTTTTTGCACAATTTTAATACTATTGAATAATGTTCTCTTCATTTTGAAGTATATGCATGCCATTTCATAAACTTATCCGGTCAAAGTTATAAACTCTTTTAATGCAAACATACATGAGCATAGTTTTATCATGTGAAAAATACTCCCACACCATTACATTTATAAAGAAATGAGATAATAATTAATTTATAAGATTGGGACACAACCAAAATGGTGCCATGAAGCGGTACATACAGCGGTGGGGGGCCGAGAAGAACGAAATAAAAAAGGAAAAAAATGGCTATGAGAATGACTCGCACGGAGAGGATATATGAGAAAGTGGAGAAACATACTGTCTTTGATGCGAAGCACAAGATGTCCTATAGATGAAAACATTAAAAATAAAGATGACAACTATGTGCTTAATATGGTAGAGAGTAGAGAGTCCATTAATTTATTGCGCCCATGTGTCCGTGATCATATCTACTTTAATTTGATCTAAAATAAAGATTAAAGAAAACAAGTTACTATAAGGACGTTTGTTTTTTAGTTATAGCCTATGCAGTACAGAGTATTTTACCTTTTTTTTCATGCAAATATAGTTCTCTTTGTCACATATTATTGCCGAAGGTACCATTGTGAACCATCGGTAAAGTTGTGTCCTCTCAGTATTTTTTCCATGTAGCCGTGTCACTCTATCTTGGCCTTCGGAAACATATAACCATTTTCGAGAGGTATATTAAACCACTCTGTTACTAATATATCCCGTCGGTCACTAATAATTGTTTCCGAGAATTATATTAAACCCCTCGGTTACTAATATACCCCGTCGGCCACTAATAATCATTTCCGAGAGTTATATTAAACCTCTCGGTTACTAATATACTCCATCGGGCCACTAATAATCATTTCCGAGAGTCATTTTAAACGTCTCGGTTACTAATATGCCCCGTCGGCGACTTATAACCATTTCTGAGTGGTTTCTTATATAACTCTCACTCACTTAAATATCCCGTCAGCCACATGCCAAATAGTCAAGTGTTCTCTTAATAACCCTTAATAACCCTCACTAAAATTTCAAATGGTCGGCCACATAAATCTTTCTGACCGTTTGTAGAATTTTTTTCTTAGACGCTTGGCAAATCTTTGGATTCTAGTAGTGGTTGGTAGCTTCATGGTATAAGCAGCTGTCAATTTGAGCAATAAATTATGGAATATCACTGGTACAAAACATTTGTGCTTGTTTCTTCCAAAAAATCGCCCGACTTGTGACATGACGTGCGACATGCCATCGTCATGGATGCCTTTCTTCCTATAAAAAACGAATCTAGGACCGAATGTAATATGTTCTAGTACTATGAATCTGGACATAAGGACATGCCACATTTGATAGTTGGTTTTTTGTGGGACGGAAGGAATAAATTAGATTACGATTTGTTTTCATGCTTTTTTGACGTCTAAGGATTCAAAAAGTTGGAAACTCATTTATATAGGTGGTTGTGCTAGGACGAATGCTTGTCTCTACGGAAAGTTGGCAATGGGATCCTATCGATGGGCCAAGATCCATGGATAGGGGCAGTTGTGCCGGGGTCGAGACGTCGCCTCTTCTCTATCCTTGTCATAGAAGTCGTCGTCGGAGAAACCGGTTCGTCGCTCCATGATGGGTTGATTCCTGACTATATTTATAGTTGATGTGTAGGGCAACCTGGTTTTGTACGTATGAAACAATACAATACATACAATTAAATGAAGACACGAGGTTTATACAGGTAAAAGTTTAACTCCTGTTTATATGGATTGATTTGAGATGTTGGAGAATACGGTGGAAACTTAGTAGGCTAATCTGGCGACAATGGGATCTCGACGGGAGACGATTATCTGGGGGCTCGAGGTGGATATATTATTAGCTCTGGCATCTGGCGATATAAGGTTGTGTCTTCCATTGATCTGCGTTTAACCCCAAGGCCGCTGCTTATGTATACGTGAAACCATGTCATACTCAATACGGACTTGGGCAGGTTCAGGAGTTCAAAAAATTAATTCCCTGGATATATGAGTATGTCGTCTACCATCAATCCCCATATCCACATAATAATTAATGCATGTACCGGAAAATTTTCTTTGTCTGACAGGTCGGTATCCCCTATTTATTTCCTTGATATATATGTTCAAGTCTTTTACTTTGAATGCCCAAACAAGTCTTTGTAGAAATTTGTATATAATTTTACAATTAGTTGCTTTGCTGTTTTGTAGTTTTGGTCTACGTACCTTTTCCATTATCAGATAATATATCTGATGTTTTTTTCTCTTCCTGCCATTTGTTTTAGTATGATACTATTTGATATTACTATCCCCCTCTAATCACTTCAGTTTTCCTTGGCTTGTTGCAAATTTCAATCTCTTTTCTACTAGCAATCTTCCTTCCAGACATCTAACTGAAGCTAAAGGTACTCAATTTCCAAGTCATTGTTTGAGTAAATTCTCTGTGTACCCCTGAAAACTCACTCAATCCCTTTTATACCCCTAAAATTAATCCGATCCCTTCTATACCCCTGAAATTTCAACTTGATCCTTTCCATACCCCTACCATTATATTTTACTTCATTTCACTAGCTACTACATTTGGTTGCAAATGTCTTTTTTGCCCTTGATGTTTTAAGTTTTAATAATAGGTAAATTGGAACCATGCCATTGTACTTTTGCAAAGTTTGAGATATGCCATCGGTATCTCAATGACATGTAGGACCCACATGAGTCAATGGCATGTGGGTCAGGATGCCATATCTCAAATTTTGTAAAATTATAATGGCATGGTTCCAATTTTTCCAATAATATAAGCTTGAAAAAGATTGAAAATTTTGTTTGAGTGCATAGTATGTACATTTTTATGAAACTAATGAGACTAAATAAAACAAATGTACTAAATTAAAATATTTATTTGAAATTTTAATAAGACAATGGATTTTTTTATCGGGAGCATTCATAAAAAAAATTATTGTGAGCATTGGTAGTCCTATCTTTATATAAATGCTCCTCATCTTTTATGACTTCTTTTAAATAATAAATACATATTTTTTATTTCATTATCTAAAAATAAATTTTGTGATAAATAATGCATCACACAACAAACTCATAATAATAATAGACTCATGCGACAAACTTTTACATTTTTAATAATGTAATTCATAAATTCTATTTTCATCCAAAGGGTAAAATGGTCATTTTCATAGAAATTAGACGGTCAACTATGGTCAACTGAAGGAAGGAGTATGAAAAGGATCAAAATCAAATTTTAGGGGTATACAAGGAACTAAGCAAAATTTAGAAGCATAGAAGGGATTAGCTAAAATTTCTGGATATATAAGAGATTTTCTCTTATAAAATGTCTCAAGTTTCTCTTTCTCATACAACAAATTTTTGTACACTATAAATTTATATGTTTGCATACCATAGGGCAAAAATAGACTTTTTCATAAGAGTTTAACAACGAACTAACGCAAACGGTGCAGAAGAGATGCAAACTAAAATTTGGAAGTATAAAGGGAATGAGCATACTGAAGAGCATAGGGATTAGACAAAGTTTTAGGCGTACACAGGGAATTTTCTCTTTCTCGAAAGTGTATGGAGTAACCAACTCTATCATCCAAACCTTATTTACTTTCCTCAAATCGGCTTTCTATGAATATGAAACTTCATTTGTTATAACCTACTCCTGCTTTATTTGTCTCTCTATCTTTAATTTATGATATATCCCCATATATACAATGACGATAAATTCTGCCATAACAATCTTTTTGTAGGCTCTAATTTTCACCTGCACTTATGCAAGTTGTCAATGATATTCCTCTATGGACAGTTATGTCTCCAAGAACAAAACTATGTAAAAAAGAATCACCTAGCACCACCGTGCACACATAAGCCAGTAGGAATTTAGGCATGTGCAATATATAAATGCTCCACAGTAATCTGTTATCCTAACTGACAGCTGCTTATACCAAACTACCAACAAATAATAAATTTTTGGTGTCACAGAATGACAATTACATGTTCCCCACCAGTGACAACACACTGATCAGACCTGTTAACAACGGAAAAAGGATGAGTCTGAGTTAATGGCAAGATAATATCAGACACGTACATCCTTTTTATATCTCAGGATGGAGACTCAATTAACGGCTAATTAAAACGACAAAAGCATTATCCCCGATGGTTTCACAACTACTGTAGTATATAAATATTCATACCGCATGTCAATCTTCTTACTCTAGCATTCCTCGTCCTGCCCTCTAAAAACAAAAGAAAGAAAGAAGAGAAAAATGAGTAATAAGTTACACAATAGTAGTAGACATTCATTTCTACTGGCTTGGCATTCCTCCAACCTCGCGATTTTACACGAAGCAATCAGAATAATCCCGAGATATATCGTCGCCATTGTCGTGGAAATTCTGCGAGGCCTCCTCGTGATCCTCCTCCTGGGCTTCGTCCTCCACCTCGCCGGCGGCGACCGCCACCCGCCGCCGGGGCCGATCGCCTGCGCGCGCGGCGGAACATCCGGCGGCTGCACGGTCACGAACATCTACGGCTCCTTCCCCGACCGCGCCGCCTGCCGCGCGGCCGGCGTCGCGTACCCGCGCACCGAGGAGGAGCTCGTGGCGGCCGTGGCGGCGGCGGCGGCGGCGGGGCGGAAGGCGAAGGCCGCCACCAGGTACTCCAACAGCTTCCCGCGGCTGGCGTGCCCCGGCGGCGTCGAGGGCGAGGGCGGCGTCGCCATCAGCACGCGGTGGCTGAACCGCACGGTGCGCGTCGACGCGGCGAGGCGGCTGATGACGGTGGAGGGCGGCATGGTGCTGCGTGACCTGATTAGGGAGGCCGCCGCGGCGGGGCTCGCGCTGCCGCACTCGCCGTACTGGTCGGGCGTCACGGTCGGCGGCGCGCTGGCGACGGGCGCGCACGGGAGCTCGCTGTGGGGGAAGGGGAGCGCCGTGCACGAGTACGTGGTCGGGATGAGGATCGTGACGCCGGCGGCGGCGAGCGAGGGGTTCGCTGTGGTGAGGGAGCTCGCCGCCGACGACCCTGACCTCGACGCGGCCAAGGTCTCCCTCGGCGTCCTCGGCATTATCTCTCAGGTACACGTGTTGCCATGTACTATATGCACGTGCTTCAGAAATGTCCACGTCAACATGCTCAGGCCAAACTGCGTGCATGCATGCATGGCAGATGTGGATTTTCATTCCTGGATGGGATATCCCCTCGTTATTTGCATGTCATATAAATAGTTATTTGCATGTTATCTAAATAGTTATTAAAAAGATTAAAATATATATATATATATTAATACGAAATATATCACTTCACAAATATGCAAGATCAAATTCAACTTCTATAAGTTACAACAAAAATAACAAATTAAACTGAAAAAAGTTATCGCACATTAGTAACTATATTTGTTATTTTTGCTACAACTTGTAAAAATTGAATTTAAACTTACATGTTAGTGTGTGATATGTTTCATATTAATCTATGTTGCCAATTTTTTTATATATTTTTTGATGACTATTTAAGTGACATGTACGAAACAAGAGTATATCCCCTCAAAGCATGAATTCACTTTCCCATGCATGGCCCCTACTCTGGTGTTCTTTTGTTTTCAGAGAGAAGAAACATTATGCTTTCGATATTTTTTTTTCTTAGCTAGGTGCTGGGAATAATTGTATTTTATGATTTTTTTTAAATGTCCTAACGTATTATATATTTTTTAATTACATGGCAAACGTGCACACACACCACTACGCACGCAATACCACACTCATTCCCCATGAATGTGACGTCCAACACATGCTTTAAGAAAACCAATGGTATATTCTATCACACTAAAAGTCTTTTTCAAATACCAACTATATATGTGTAATATTCATATATACAAGTATTAAATCCTGGTGGGTGGATATGATCGATAACATCATCACACCACTCGTGCTTCCTGGGAAGAAGCTATAATTTGGGTGGGCGCTAATAGTAACCATCATTATATCACGGTCATGCATGGGAGCACACTTAGAGCAAGGTTAATAGTATAGCCAACCAAATCATCTATAGCTAATCTAATAGCTCATTTATACAATAGTTAAATATAAAAATATACTACACCATTAATATCCGGTCCCACCTATTATACACACATAACGTCTTGGAGTCCGTGTTGCAGCCGGTTACAAATCTATAGTCCGTTTTCTTCTCTCTTTTACCTTTTCTTCTCGATACGTGGTTATAGTTGGCTTGTAGTTTGCTATTGTACCCGCTCTTAGAGCAAGTATAATAGTGAGCTATAAGTCTACTATAAACTTATGTGGAGAAAAGAGATAACCAAAAATCAAGAGTGTTGGCTCTCATGTAAGAGCTAACTTAACACAAGCTCTAAAACAAATACAGTAAATATATAGATAGAGAGGAGTAGAAAATTACAGCCAACCTTATAGCTAATCTATTATAAATGTTGGATTTAACATAGGCTAACAGTAGGAAGATAGCTCTACCATTATCTTGCTCTTATGGCAAAGATGTCTCAATTAATTTGGGGAGCACTCTAGCGATATTCGCCAATAGTGTCCTGATTTCGATATGACAAATCTACAGCAGGTAGCCGTGTGTGGTTGCGTAAAGAATAAGACACTATCTCCATGAAAAAAATAAAATAAAGGCGTACAAGTTTTTCGCACGTGGTCTTCAATATAGAACACTGATTATTAATTCATTTCACACTATATACCGCCAACAACTACGTATTTAACATGGTATAAAAATATTTTCAAACATAAAGTTGATATATACTATATCATAACAGTAAGTATATTTATTTAATTCAAATTATTAATTAGTTGACAGCCAAAAGTAGTTTTGTCGTGCACACACATGTCCACGCTTTCCTGCAGGTAACCCTGGCCTTGGAGCCACAGTTCAAGCGGTCGGTAAAATTCGTGAAGCGCGACGACGCAGACATCGCTGAGAAGGTAGCGGTTTGGGGCCGCCTCCATGAATTCGGTGATATGGTATGGTTGCCGGGGCAGCGGCAGGTGATCTACCGTGAGGACAACCGTGTCAATATTTCGACGCCTGGAGATGGTCTCAACGACTACTTCGGCTTCCGGGCGCAACCGACGCTAAGCATGGTCGGCGCAAGGGTCATAGGTGATTGAATTCTTTATCATATCTCAAAATTTTCTGAGATGAGTAGCCAGGGTAGAAACCTCTTTTTTTTTTTTTCAAAATTTTCCGTGCCCCTTTCATTTCATATTATAAGTTGCTATGTGGTCGGTAGAGAAATTTACTAACATCTATAACTCCAATAATGTTATTACATGTAACATTAAAAATATTTCGATAATATATTTGTTTTCGGTAGAAAATATTGCTCCAATTTTCTATAAATTTAGTCAAATGTAAAAAAAGTTTGATCAAAAAAAATAAAAACAAGTTATAATATGAAACAGAGGGAGTAACTATTTTTTTTATTTATTTTTTTTAGAGAAGGGTATTTTTTATCCGGTCTGGGCTCTACATCCAACCGAATATATGCAGCCTTTTTAAAATTAGAAACTTAGCCTATCAAACAAGATATACGTAACTCTTAAAATAATCTATAATTTAAAATTCGCTCCTATGAAGTAACTATTTGAACATTATATTGGCGCAGATGAGTGTCTAGAAGAGAATCCAATGTACACTGACACTGCCCGATGCCTAGCATCCCGTGCTGTCACCAAGATGTTCGACCTCCTGGCGTACGGCTTCACCAACGACGGCGCCACCTTCACCGGGTACCCGGTGGTGGGCTACCAGCACCGCATCCAGTCCTCCGGCTCGTGCATGGGCAGCCTGGAGGAGAAGGACGACGGCCTCCTCCTCACCACCACCTGCCCATGGGACCGCCGCACGCGGGGCGTCTTCGCCTACAACGTCGCCTTCACCGTCCCGCTCTCCCGCGCGCCGGCGTTCGTGGCCGACGTGTCCAGGCTCCGCGACCTCGACCCGGCGGCGTTCTGCCAGATCGACGCCAAGATGGGCGTGCTCGTGCGCTACGTCGCGGCGTCGTCGGCGTACCTCGGCAAGGCGGAGGACTCGGTGGACTTCGACGTCACCTACTACCGGAGCCGAGCCCGCGGCGCGCCGCGCGCGCACGCTGACGTGTTCGACGAGGTGGAGCAGATGGCGCTGCGCGGGCACGGCGGCGTCCCGCACTGGGGGAAGAACCGGAACGCCGCGTTCGACGGCGCCATCGCCAGGTACCCGAACGCCGGCGAGTTCTTGAGGGTGAAGGACAGGTTCGACCCCGAGGGCGTCTTCTCCAGCGAGTGGAGCGACCGGGTGCTCGGCGTCGGCGGGGCGAGCCCGGCCATCGTCGGCGACGGCTGCGCCATGGAGGGGCTCTGCGTGTGCTCCGACGACTCGCACTGCGCGCCGGAGCTGGGCTACTTCTGCCGGCCGGGGAAGGTGTTCACCGAGGCGAGGGTCTGCTCGTTGTTGCGAGACGCTGCCGATGGCTACCTTCGCGATCGTCATGGCAATGTCAGGGTTAATGCAACTAGTACAGGGAAGCATTCACTATTGCACGAATGATTTTCCTAAAAAAACAATAGGTTGGACACGGATTATAACTGGTCGTGTCTGTAAAAATTGACTCGCACCATATATGAAAATCTTTTATAGATGTATCTTAAGAAGCTATATGTAAAAATAGGGCTTTTTTCCAGAAAAGCCTCTTAGGCGGCCACAGGGAAATATATATTTTTGCAAATGGGCCTCTTAAAGTTTTACCCAAATATCTGAGTTACCTTCTCTTTTCCGTTTTAGCACTCTAATTTTTTTTCAATTCATCCTTATCTACTCTCTTCTACTTTCTCTCCTACTCCTCTCTTTCTCATATCCGTCTCTCTCTCTCTCTCAAACTGCTCTCTCCTCTCTCTCTCTAGCGGGTACGTGGCGGTGGGCACCCTACGCATCAAAAGCGGTGAGGGGTGACGGCTGCAACGGCAGTCCTCCCTGCTTGGATCCCATGAATCTGCTAGCGGTGGCAGGAGGAGGAGCACGGCGGCTGCGGCAGCGGCCCTCCCTCGCCCAGATCCGGTGGTGGGAGGAGCTTGGCGGTGGCGGCCGGCTGCAGCGGCCGATGACTGGCAGGTGTTTTGCGATTTTTCCTCAGATTTTTGTATTCGCGTACAGACGATGTAAGTACCCATATAAAAAAATAGCAATTTTTGTATACCCTTCGGAGTAGATGAATCAGAGATCCACACGTGAAAGTCACTTTTGCCGTCCTAGAAAAATCGTTTTTATCCGGTGATTGTAATCTTTAGGACTTGGCGATGTGCGACGGCTGTCTTTGAGGCATGGAATTGTCGTGCGCTGAGTTGGCTTATTTATGGACCATTTATATATTCGCCTTATGGTCGATGTACGGCATTGTTTTTATTTGGCTACCGAAGCAAATTAATCGGTACAACATCGAAAAAGACAGTCAAACATAACAATATAAGTGCGACAAGGTAAAGTTGAAATGACAGGAACATTATTTTTTTCTTAGTAGCAAAATATTTTGAAATATGACAGCAGCGTGTAAGATCGAACATCTCAAGATCACAATTACATAACACTGAGCCATATTATTTGTTAACGAGGCACAACTTTAAAAATGTGAAAAAGAACAAGTTCATACATTCTATATCTATAAGCCTACAAGTTCATACAGATTTTTGCTAACTAAGGATGAAAATTCACAAATAGACTTTAATAATTGTTTTCTTCTAATTTGTTGGTTTTATTAATTGTTCTAGTTATTATTGTTGCTTGACTATTGACTCTCTTTGTGAGAGTTTTATAATAAGTTATAACCATCTTTGAAGCAAAGGCCTGATTTATATTTCATTATTGAAAAAAGGCTGAATCCTAGACATCCAGACACTACGGACACAGCATCATCGCTAAGATATTCTAGGAATAGATATGCCAGTTAACCTCTCTATTAATTTAAGCCAAATTCTACCCTGCACCTAAATCTATTTTTCATACAGAGTAAAAGTTAATTCATTTATTTATACCTTGATTTGGTAACCTCAAATAGTGATCACAAATTCATTCAGCTATGCAACTGTTCAGAGAAAAAAAAACAATAATAAAGTCATTCGGATAATATGCTGGCTGATGTGATCCCTGCCATCTATTTCATCATAAATGGAAAAGATTGGTATATATAACATGTGTAAAAACCGCTACAATGACACTGAGCCATACACAACATTAGCAACTGCTATATTCTCAACCGTACAAGCAGTTATAATACTTGAAATGAAATAAATTGATATTAATGTTGAGATATCGACCGTACCACACAATATTCTGCCAGCTCAGTTTCCCTTTGATGCTCTCAACCTACTGACAATTCTGAACTTTTACTCCAAGAAAACGTGTGTCATGTCCATTTTTGCTATTTATGGAGGACCAAATATTTATGACAAAGTTAATTAAGGTTTATGTTAACACAACTTACCAAACCTTGTGGTTTAAGATAAATATTTACACTGGAGGTATGGGTCGCCAAATAAAGGGCTATTGTTTTTATTGTTATAAAAGCAAAAAATATAATAATACGCTAAACATGTTGGTTATTTTTCGAATTATACCTGCTTGGACTAAAAAGAAGAGTGACTCAACTTGCTAATACTTGATTCCGAATTTTGAAATTTTTAAAACACTAAAAAGAGTCCATGATATTTTTCGATCGCTTGTTTTCTTTAATGCAAACTCCCAACATGTTTTCGGTGATGATAATCCACGTCATCAGTGGATATAATCCCTCCGTTTGCATATTACAGGACGTCGATCGGTTTGTTCTAAGTGAAAGTTCTTCATGCTAGACCAAATTTGAAAAAGAACTAGTAACATCTGTATTTATAACGGTCCATATTCCACAAGGCAATTTCCAAATTTTTGGTCCACCTGCAATTTTTGGTAAATAATTTACTGTTTTGAATTAGCAATTTTGTTTCTTTAGAACATCAATTTTGTTCAAAATTACCCGATATGTGTTCAACTATTAAGTGTTCCGTCTCAAATGTTGGGCCCATCCATCCTCCTGAAATGTTTGCAATTTTGAAATATAAAACTCTGGCATGAATGAGAACGGGGTTAAGATTAGGCATATTTACTATCACTGCCACAGACCTCCTCATCACCAACGGTTCAAAGTTGCCATTTGTAATAGGCAAATTTTATTGTAGGCCATTGAGATTTTGTGGTTTTACCTCCTACACATGACAACACTACAAGAAACCTGTTAATCCATGACGGATTCTTGTTGACGGATTCTAAGACTGTCACTGGTAGGCGCGATCTGTGATGGTTATCTTATTTTCGTCATAGATGTGCACTAGTGGATATTCTCGGCCCTCTAACTCGTGACGGTTTTATTTGGACCGTCACAGTTTATGACTATAAATTCGTCATACTCTAGTTGGCCCAAAACAATAGGCCCTCTATCATATATTTAGTGCAAAGAAAAATAAAAAAATGTGATTGCAAAATGAATCAAACCCAAAAGACAATTTGTTTTTGAACTAAATTATTTTGTTACTTCGTTACTTGTATGCGTATGGTACAACTGAAAATATTCTGTATATATATAGTGTGCGAACAAAAAAATATTTGGAGCTTGTAGGTATTGAACCTAGCAAACGTCATAAGGGGCAAAAAGCAAACGTCACAGATTTATATAATGAATTTCTATAAAAATATATTAAAAGTTAAAGCAATTTAATCAAGTGAATTAATGAGGAAACTAAAATTTTCCTTTGAAAATCATGGCTAGAAATATTTTTTTAATATTCTAAGTGGTCCAAATTATTCTCTAAAATTTTCCGTGAATTTTCGGAGTTCAATAACTAGTTTTAATACCACAAAGTTCATTTAACTTATTAAAATAAATAAAAAACAAATTAAAATCCCTCTCTATGTCCTTGGGCCTTTTTCAGCCCAAGTGTTACTCACTCCCTCCCATAGTCCGTATCCCCTCTCTCTCCTTGGGCCGGCTTCCCCTTCCCCTCCACCTTCTTCGGGCCACCGGCCCAGCCCATTTGCTCATCTCTCGCTAAGAAGTCTATTTTTCCTCCCTCCTCTCAATTAATTTCAAAATATTAAAACTTCGAATCGATTTTTATGGCACTAAATCAACTCGTATAAACCAGCAAGAAAATCAACTGGATTAATCGATAAACAATTTAGTTGACATTATGTCCTTACAACCTTCATTTGGAAGTATAGCTGTCTGCACTTGCAAGGAAGTACGGTTATGAAGAACGAAAATTTAGTTTATTTTAGACTGAAGATTCAAGAGAGACCAGAGTTCATAGAGTCGAATGGAGAATGATCAAGAGCTTGGCCGAGTTAATCATAACGAGTTTGATCTTGATTAATTAGTCTGGTCCAAAAAATGGGCGAATTGCGTTGAGAGCAAATCAGGAACAACGCCAGCTATGCATAAAGGTAAAATATGACACGTACCAAAGAACATGAACAAGCTGACCTCGAACAAAAGTACAGAAGGACGACTATTAAGTGGGGATTTTTGCACCATTCAAAATCAGAAACTCAAATTCAACTTTAGGGCAACAAATTTCAGCCAATTTACCAATTAATTAAAAAAATATCCAACTTTTAAATTAGGAGTGGCAGTGTGGCACCTCGCAAATGAATACATTTTCAACTTGATTCTTTCGTAGGGATATTTGTGTATGACTGCACCTGCCAGAATTCAAACTCAGTATCCTGGTTAGTGTAAAGGCTGAAAGTTCGCGAAATGAAAATTTTTAGGTGTCACATCGGATGTTTGACCGGATATCGGAAGGGGTTTTTAGACACGAATAAAAAAAATAATTTCATAACTCGCCTGGAAACCACGAGACGAATCTTTTAAGCGTAATTAATCCATCATTAGCACATGTAGGTTATTGTAGCACTTATGGCTACTCATGAACTAATTAGGCTCAAAAGATTCGTCTCACAATTTCCCCTCTAACTGTGCTATTAGTTTTTCTTTTAATCTATATTTAATGCTCCATACATGTGTCTAAAGATTCGATGTGATGTTTTTGAAAAAACTTTTGGGATCTAAATGGGGCCTTATACTATTTCCTGTGTCCAAGAAGTTACTCAATAGAAATTTTTCAGAACTATAGAATATGATATTTGCCAAGCAAAGAAAAATGACCTCTGGTGTTCCAATAAAACAGAGGTTGCAAGGCATCAGTCACACATCTATCTATAATCTATCTATCTATTTATAACTATACTAATTAGGCACTTTCTACGAGCTCCCATGTTAATTAGAAAGATCTTATCGTTAATTAGATAGATCATTTTATCACCACCGTTAGATTGAATATATTATATTAAATAAGGCATACAATTAAATAAATTATGGGCTCATTAGTTTAATGTCACCAAGTTAATAGTGTTGTTTTATAATCTCACGTATTTCACTGGTGCGGCTGATTTGGGCGCCGATCTCAGGATTCGGCCAGAAGAAAATTAAAAAAAAAGGAAGTCTAACATGGATCCGATCTAATATATCTACTCCGTCTGTTCTGTTCGCTAATGATGGAAAAAACTGCGACCATGGCGCCACCACACCGTGATTTTTCACTTTTGTGGGCTGTTTTAAAAGCCTGTCAAATCTTATGTCCAAGGGCACACATCAATAATCTATCTTAGATCTATCTTGGAGAGTATTAACCAATCAGCCAGGCAAATAAAATATGGGGACACGAGGCCACAAGTGGAACGAGATTGATTTTTCCGTCAATCAAAGATTGATTTTTGTCTGAGACGACACAGATCAGAATTCATCCAGGCTCGCTCATATACACCAACATCTATCATGGCATATAATTTTTTTGAGGGGTTGACAATTGATAAGAAAGGTTCACTCTTAGTACATATTTAATTTATCATCTTTTTATCGTCTCATCTGTAATATATACAGGTAGGTAGCTTTCTTATTGATGCTGATCTCATGTTGTATAAAGTACTGCTGATTTTATCGACATAACGATCTGTTCTTTTTTCCCTTTTTTTTAGCATGGATAGTTCAACGTTATCAATTATCTAAAAAAAAGTTCAACGTTATCAACCAATGTACCTGCATCTCCCCTGTGTGTGTTTTAGCTGAAGCGTTGCATGCGTGTAGCATAAGCTGTCTACATGAAGCAGCTTAACAGAATTCAATGACAAGGTGATTATGGATTCATGGAAGGGTCAATGCATTAAGATGAACTTACAAGAAAACCAGGTTTGAACCCATTTTTATCCGGTTATATTTTAATCTATTTTTATTTGATTAAGTACATGCATTTACGTTTTTAAAAGAATTTTAATGAGATAAGGAATTTACCGCTGGCTCGCGAGCGTGAGAAAGAGTTGTGTGCGTCTGTGCATTTTTCTATGTGATGAAAAAAATATACAGAGATTGATATGAACAATATATTAATAGCGCGTGCAAATACGTGCAGAAAGCCATCAGTAAGAAATTTTATCGTCAACCAAATTTTAATAATTTGAGACACCACGCCAATTACCAAGCACAACTCACTATTCATTTGTTACCGATTACAAAAATATCAATCAAATAGGGAAAAAAATATAACTGAGACTCTCTTCATACTTAATAACTCATAATTTCTCAATTAAATTAAAAAAACCAAAAAAACTATATTGAGACCTTGTTGTGAATTAAGAGATTAGAATACAAATAAAACTGTAATATTTATAATATTAATAATAATAGCCCGTGCAATGCACGGGTTGGCGGCTAGTAAAACTAATTTTATATAAACTTAGTTCACCTTTGGACAATTCCAAAATATATTATAACATGAAACAGAGTATTATGAGCACTGCATCACAGCACAACTTAATCAAAGAAGCAGCGAGTATTACTCACGATGAGTTTGCAGCCTTCTCCAGCAGTTGCCACAGCTCAACGACAGCAGCCAGAATTAATGGTCCTCCGGGTTATAATAGTTGTTGTTTTGAACAAGAGTATGGTCTCTGAAAAAAATAACTTAGACATTATTTTGTATTATAATATGCACAGAAGTGTTAACAAATATATGATTTTATTAATGTACTTTATAAAACTAATCTATGCATATAGTCACCATATTTTTAAAACTAATCTTTGCATGTAGCCATCATATATGAAAGGCAAATATTTTAGAAATGATTTATAATCAAAGATTCTAAAGTTTAATCTCACCCTTATCTAAAACGACATGTATTATCAGTCCGGATAGAGTAATTATCTTATTCCTGAGAAATATGGGCAGGCTCGACGCCACATCACAGTTCCTAAGATTTGGAGTTAAGAGGAATACACTGTCATGGCCGCTCAAAATTGGCTTAGACACCAGCCACCGGTGAATCTGCGGGCCGAGTCTGATCAAAGTGGTGGCTCCCCACGTGAAACTGCACAACCACCCCTCGCTGACATTGTTTTCACCTGTAGAGGGCTTTTACAGTGCTTGAGAGGTATGGAAGGTACCTTCCTCCATACTTCAAATCCACCATTGATTTATAAAAGGGTAAATTCGGAATATGGAGAACAACGAAAACAAAGGCAGTTTAGTAATTCTTTTAGCCAGTTCAGTAATTATCATTCGTTAACTTTCTCTTATTGCCGATTTGATTTCCTCATGGAGTAATTAAGATGGTAATTGGCTGCTTTCTCATCGCTATGTGTCGGCGGCACTTGGGTACAATTTCCTACAAATAAATTGAGAGTAGTATTGTTTTTTTCATCGCAAAAGCATTACTTACAATTGGACCATTCATAAATTCTCTTCGTATAATAATACATAAAGACAAAAGGCATATACATGTCGATTCTCCCCTTTCAAAATATTTCAACAATAAATACTGTCAAAGTTGATTACTTGGTTCTTTGATCAAAGTTTTGATCAAGCTTAGTTAGATGAGTATGTTTATACTTCCAAATAAGTCTTACGCAAGATTACAAAGTTCGATGTCTTTAATTAATCGTACTGCTAATTGTTCCCTAGTTACCTAATTTCAAGCACAGTTACCGAGTTTATCTCAGTAGTTCGTTGGAAACAACAGTTGCTTTCTAATTTGATCACAGGTACAAAATTACCTATATGACCATCTAACTTTTTACTTAATACCTGGCCCATATTTTTAGTACCTTCATGTAACTATCTTTTGTTATATATCGTTGGATTACCAGCTATCAACGGCTATAATGTCTCCCAAGCATCTTAGAAAGCCTCTCACCTGTAGTTCAACCATCGGCCCATTTGGGTGTCCAAACAGAATATCTAAAACTCCCAAAGTCTCTCATTCCAATTAGGCGTGATCATCTCCCCAACTGAAGCAAACAATTTCACCTTGATCTCCTCACCCATTGTCAATCCTGGGATGTTACAACATAACATATGGCTCGTTAGTACTCTCTCGTTTGTATGAATTTCCTTGAGAGAAGTTATATTCTATTTATGCTATGGCTACTCATGCAGCCCATAAATACTGCACCAACCACAAACACACTTTGTTTTGTTAGCAATATAGAAACAAAATGTATGGTTGTGGTAGGGTATATTCATGTGTCATATGACATGTGTAAGAAAGGATGAGCAGAAAAAATAATATAATGTATTTAATGATCATGCAAATTAACCAATTGCAATTTTCTCCTGTTCAGCGAAGCAAAATCTCCTGTTCGAGGTGAAGCAATTTTCTTCAATGTCCTCACTAATTGTCAGTACTAGAACTTCAATGTCTTGAACTCGGTCACACGTACTTCAATGCACCTTTCACCAAGCTGTTTTTTGAGATATTACTGTTACATTGCAGTAGTATCTTGAAGTACGTTACGGCACGGTGAGTTGATGACAACTTGAGACCACATGCAGAGTCTGAGAGGACATGGACTGACCGGACGACGGCTGAATCTAAACATTTTTGAATTTATCTAAACTTTCGTATCTGCATCATTCCAAAATGATTCTTCCTTCGGCAATCTATCCATCAATCGGATATGTGAGGAAAACTTGAGGTTCCCGCTGAAGTTACATCCCCAAACAAAGAGTCAAACCTCGACCAGCAGAAATTCCTACTGTCTCCTATTCCTACGAGCCACACATTTGGCTGAGGCTATGAAAAGACGAAGAAATATTAAATAGTGCTAGAATTTCACGATAAAACATATCTTGTGCCTTTTTTCCATCTTTATCTGCCTCGAACAGAAACATGTCTCTGCAATTTATGAAGATACCTAGAAGGCTAGAAGCTAGGGAAGTCCACGAATAAATAGAGCACCACCAGTCACACCCACTTTCCATGGCCAGAGTTAAGTGCAATATCAATTTCTTATCTGACAAGGTACACAAATTGAAACCAAATCTTGCAAACAAAAACTAACGACACAACAATTTGGGATGAATACATTGTTTTTTTTATTCATAACAATTAGGCAAATTTTGTTGTAGGACCCTGCGACTTTGTGGTTTTAGCTCTAGAACACGTTAAAAGTCGATCATTAGGGAAAGACACTGTCAAAATGTGATTATTTCCTGATAGACACCGCAAGCATTAAATTCTCGGACTTTACTCTTCGAGCTCATATCACTTTTAGGATAGGTGGAGAAAATAGTATTTTCATGCCTCTATTTCTAATTTCTCCGTGACCTAAGATCACGACACCGAGGATTGTTTATTTCCATAATATAATAGGTTCAGCCAAACATGACTGATCTGCAACACTGAAATAAGGAGAATGTAAGTAAACAAGTCCTCACTGACGTCGTCTGTCTTGAAGCTGTTAGCTCGAGCAGGAACCCCATGTGTCCCTCCTCAGGGTCAGGATCACCACTAATTGGCGATTGCTTTTCCTCGAAGAACAAGGAGAAGAACATCATGACCGATCTCATAGAACCAGCCCCAATAACATATCAATAATCGAACTCGAAAGAAACGCCATAGAAGGTCTAATACTGAATATAACACCAAGGCACGTTATTATCTGTTAACGAGGTTCAGCCGAAACCTACATCCCCAAGGCACTAATTACGGACACTACTCTCTTATACAGCATATTACAGTGTATCTAGGTATCCACCCTCCTAGAACTACTTGCTATAGTAGAATGGCTAGAGGATAGTTATACATGTCTGCAAGAGCTATCTGTCAGGCTAAAGGCTACTCATTTAGTAGTACTACAGTAGTGAATATAGTGACTGTAATGGGACTCTTCAACCTATCTCTAATGACCAGTAAACTTGTGGTGCTGCAGTAGTGAATATATGTGTTTCTCAATCGAAACTCAAACAACTTTTGAGAAGAAAGCGAACAGTTGAATTTGTTATTCTTTGACATTTTCTTGACAGGAGTGTATAGCATTTTTTGGAACAGTGAGCATTGAACACGTATGTATAACCGATAGCCTCGCGCGGCAGGTGAAATCGAAGATGGCATCACACATCACGATTCTTCCAAATCCATGGCCATACCGGGTGTTTGGTAGTGGCACACGGTATTTTTGGGACGTTACCGTGTTCCTGTTCGTACACCCGTAAGCTACCTAGTGTTTTGTTAAACTCTCGGTAACATTTGGGAGCATACGGGAGCTTTCCTTGCCCTGGTAGTGTTCGCAGCCAGGGAATCCTGGGACTGCAGAGTGCCAATTCAATCTATCCAAGACTGCAATATAATTTTCTGCCAGTAATACCAACAGGATTTTGATCTGTGTTCTGTTGTATGTGACGATATGTTGCAACAGTATGTTCGATTCTTTGTTTTTGTCTTCAAAGTTTTCGAATGAATTCAATCTTTTTAATACACAAAGAGAGGTTCCAATTTTCTGGCTATGCAATAAACCGCTCAGGAGGAGCCAGAATTCAGCGATGGGAGTACACTATTTACTGTGGCTAATTACCTAATTCCCCACTTGTCTCCATCACTTGAATCATCACTGATGCATGCAGGACTGGTAATTCCTGGTTTGCCGGCCAATCAATTTTGCAAGACTGGTATCGAGTCCTCACCGACGGCGGTGATTGCCGATGACCACACGCCTGAATCCTCTAGGATTCCGGCGTTTACCAATAAAGTACTTGTTTATCTGGGCCAAATTAACAGAAGATTAAAAGGTGTTGTGGTCACGGCCAATGCCAAGCAAATCAAGCAAGTTGAACAAACTGTGAAATGTGTAGTATTACCTGTGCGGCAGCAGAATAAGAACCAAATTTCCTGATGCCTCCTATTCCACACATCATATGCACTGCTAAAATAATTTCTTTTTGATGTCATATGAAAACTTGAATATCGTGGAGTGTGTAGTGCTCTTTCCGTCGTAAGATGAGCCTGCACTATTTACGCAATGGAAAGGTAACCACAACCATAATGGACAATGGTTGTGCACCAACAGCCCAGCAACCTTCCTATTAAATCACAGTACATGGTAGTACTATCTTTCAGTTACTGCGTACTCTCTCAATTGCACATTATAAAACAATTTTTCATGTCATCTCTCGTCGAGATTCACACATGTAATTCACATACATAGATCCATGCATTAATTAATCTATTAAAAAACCAAAATGTCTTATAATGTAATCATAGATAGTAGCTAAAAAGTACACATTACATATATTCAAGCCAATTCTCTCAATAAAACGACCAAGAATTAATATAATTCGCAGAAACTCTTGATGGCTTTCTTTTCACATTGTCGCACAATTTACACTATTAGCCGTTAACCCTTGCATTACATAATCAATCATAAAAATGTTACAAATGAGATTTTGCAATTATTAAATAATGAAAGAGATCTTCTATGGTGCTTGGAAGGCATGACAGCCATTGATTACATACAATCTGACATATAACAAAAGGTACGTAGAGAAAGGTACTAAATATGTGGGCTAGGTATTAACTTAATACATTAAGTAAAAGGTTATATCAGTAATTTTGGATGCATAATCATCTGATGCCGTTGTGAGAGCCGATACAGATACAGATCGAGAGAACATACATGAGCGATCTGCAGCTTGGATGGCTCAATGGGAAGATAATTATCTGTCATGGAGGCTGTTGATCAGGATGTTCAGTAAATTTGATTGAAGGCAAGGATTGCTCCTTGATCAACTGTCGTACATAATGAATGGTTACAACAAATTGTGGAAAGAGGACGGGAAGGTCACTGCTTCCTGTGTCTATGGATTAATCGAAGATAATAGTATGATCTTTTCAATAATCCCATTTTAGATGAGAATCAGTAAAGGAAAGAAGGATATGGAACAAATTATAGGGACGGACGGAAAACTCAGTAGAGTTCTAGAGGTCACAGCTAATAATAATTACTATACTACCCATGTTTACGTTTTTCTATTCCTAAACTACCCTTTAAGGAATGAACGGTAGATAGTTTATACGAGAGGAGGTACTTGGAATACCTTTCAAGAACCGTGAAAGGCCTCATAATGAAAATAGTATACTTGGGATACTGAACTGAGGACAGTACGGTATTTATTAATTTCGATATTCAGGTACTCATCAGGTACAACTCAATACTACTCCTATTAATTTATTGATGTAATGTTTTTGAACAAAATATTGACATATTTAGACCACGCTAAATTATGCACCCCTACCAAAAAAATTATTATGAACATTTGAACCGGATTAAAAAAAATCAAAGAGACATAAGATATACCGTGTTCTTATAATCAGTGATGGCTTTCGCTAGTGCAAACTCATGTTATATATTTATGTTCCAGATGTAGATGGAGCCGATGTTTAGGACTGCGAAACTTACCTGCATCCAAAAGAATAAATACTTGTTTGTCAGTAAAATAAGTTGACCCATTTTCTCGCATTGATGTCGATCAACATGTCAATGAAATATGAAGGGTTAACTAAAGGATCATGTGAATTGGTATATTAATCCATGATCAGATTGAATACAACAATTAGTTCAATTTATGGTAAAATCTGGACTAAAAAAGGTATTTTTGAGTGCCAAAAAATACCTTACCCTTCATATTGCTAGTACACGATAATCATAATTGTACAGCCTGATTAAGTATATTGTGACATGCTATATATCTGTATGTTTACATATTTCTTTTTTTCTAAGTGAGAAGTGCAAATTCCATATGCAGCTTACTTTTTTTTATGTAAGTGGTTGTTGCTACACTCAGGTTACTAGAAACTTTCATGATACAAATGCTATTAATGGTTTCCTTTTACATTCTCTATCTTGAGGAAAACAACTGTACGAACGAAAATTGCCATATGGAAATAAAACCAACAAGATGTTGAAGAATCTGAAGGAACTTTGGTACGCGATGTTGATCATTCTTTAACCAAAGCCCTTAATAAGAGGACATGCAAGCGGCTGGACTTCTCGCTATACCCTCTCCATTTCTTGTTATATGTCACTTTAACTTTTTTTTCTAGTTAGATATTTTCAAGTTTGATTAAATTTATAGGAAAAATAGCAATACTTTAAACACAAAACAAACATATTATCAAAATATAATTAATATGAAGATAATTTGGTGTTACAGATGTTGCTAGATTTTTCTATAATCTTGATCAAACTAAAAAAACAACCTATAAAATGAAACGGATTGGAGTTAGTATTTGATATTTCTGGTTGGACTAGCATGGTATATCTGCCAACCTAAAGGTCACTAGCCCAACAGTAGCACTGTATGGGCTTGTGATATAGACAATGAGCACAGCATCGAATTACTCTGAATCTGTCTCGCTCTAAAATCAATACATAATGAATCACTGTCAGTATGAATCATGGAAAGAGTACCACTGAAATTCCTAGTGTCTCCCATCCCAACGAGCTGCGATGTGTTGGCCTTGTTTTTGGTTTATAGCCAAATAAATTAGCACTGTCAAAAAAAATGACACCTGTTTGGTTTGGAACCAATATATTTGGCATAGAAACAAACATGCCCAATTTATATGCTCAATCTCACCCATTTTCATTTGTCAATCATGGAATGTTACAAGAAAACTTATGTTATATATGCGGTCTCTTCTCATGAGTTTCCCTTAATTAGAATAGGTGTACGCTATTTATGGATGCTCTGGCTATGTATCTCATATATAGAGAATGCACCAGCCGCCCATAAATTAAACTACTTGCAGTTACAGTGCCATATTAAAAATATCAAAGCCATCTCTGCAAAATCATAGGAACCAATGAAACAGCTCATTTTCCATAATCTTTCCCTTTCACATTCATAATATAGAGCTATAGTAGCATGAAAAGGCTGTAACACATTGTCAGGATTTGCTCCTTCGTTCATATTATAGGTTGTTCTAGATTTGTTTCAAGTCAAACTTATCTATGTTTGAACGCGTTTATAAAAACATTCAGCATCCTTTCGATACAAAACCAAAATATATTCAGTGAAAGACTTAATAAACTATTTTGTTTTGTAGATATTGACAAGTTTTCTATAAACTTAGTTGCCTTAATACAGTTTAACTTGGCCAAATCCAAAATGTATTATAATATGAAACAGCGAGAGTATTATGAGCACCGCATCACAGCACAACGTAATCAAAGCAGCAGCCTAGAATGAAAGATCTTACTCATGATGAGTTTGCAACCTTCTCGAGCAGTTGCCACAGCTCAACGACAGCAGAGCCAGAATTAATGGACCTTCGGGTTGATAATACTTGTCGTTTGGACAAGAGCACGGTCTTAAAAAGCAACTTTGACCATTATTTCTCTATTATAATATGTTTGAAAGTATTACCAAATATATGATTTTATTAAAATACTTTTTAAGACTAATCTATACTTGTAGTCATCATATTTGAAATATTTTAAAAATGAATCATAATCAAAGATTTTAAATTTTGACTCCACCCTTATCTAAAACAATAAGTATTATCAGCCCGGAGGGAGCAATTATCTTATTCCTGAAAAATATGGCCAGGCTCGACACCACAACACAGTTCCTAAGTTTTGGAGTTATGAGGAATACACTGCCATGGCTGCTTAAATTTGGCTTAGACACCAGCCACCGGTGAATCTGTAGGTAGAGTATGATCAAACTAGTGGCTCCCCAGGTGAAACTGCATGACCACCCCTCGTTGACATTGTTTTCACCTGTAGAACAACCATCGGCCCATTTGGGTGTCCAAATAGAATAACTAAAACTCCCGAAGTCTCTCATTCCAATTAAGGCGTGATCGTCTCCCCAACTGAACCAAACAATTTCTCCTTGATCTCCTCACCCACTGTCAATCCTGGGATGTTGCAACAGAACATGACTCTCTTTGGTATGAATTTCCTTGAGAGAAGTATATTTTATTTATGCAATGGCTACTCATGGAGCCCATAAATAGTGCACCAACCACCAACACATTTTGTTTCTTAGCAATACAGAAGGAATAAGGTTGTTTTTTCGTACAAACAAAATGTATGGTTGTGGTAGGGTTCATGTGTCATATGCCATGTGTAAAAAAGGATGAGCGGAAAAAAATACCCTTATTATAATTAACATAATGTATTAAATGATCATACAAATTAACCAGTAGATTTAGATCCACCAAATAATATCACCAGTGGTAAGATTTGCACAACATATTTTTGATAGTTTTCTTTGAGCGAAAGAATTTTTCTTAATTTAACATGAACTAGTCGAATTTTACACATTGCACACATACCAATGAGGATAATTCCCCTTCCATCACATCTTCAAATGTTATGTCCTAGTGTTTGATGAGAGCACTTGATGCATCCAAAACAGCGTGCAAGCTCGAATGGAAATGTCGATTGGGACATGGATGCATTCTTCAATGTATCCCCTACTTCGCAAAATGAAAAATAGCAAAAAGCAGTGTAAACTATCGTTTATGGGTTCAGTTGAGCAGAGGCTTAACTAGGAAAAATCCATTAGAATTATTTGCTAGGCTATGTTATGGACTGTATCTCTTGATGCCGAGGCCGCAAGTCCTAAAATAGATACATTGGGAAAATAGTCACACAACATGTTTATGTTCGGCATGGTTGTCTGCATTATGAAGAATATTTTCATAATATTCGCCATAGTTACGCTCACAAAAATGCGTTTAAACACATTTATTTTCCGTTTAGGTATCAAAGTACCTAATCCTACCCAGAAGTGCCGTAGAGCTTCGAAAAATGGCCATCTTGGCCTTTTTTCTCGATGACATATCCCCGTACACGTGAGCTCCGACAAAACAACACCCAAGCTTTTCCTAACAACACGTATCACCTTGCTTTCCCTTACTGCGAGAAGTCCTACTATACCCAAGGTAGTTGTTCGCTCACTTGCTCTAAAACACTAAGCACATTCTTTCCTTTCCGAAAAGCGGTCCCTACAAAAAATAATATTTGATTTTCAATAATCATAGTGGAACATGTGAGAATAGTCAGACTCATATATTGTTTGTTTTGCTACCTTTATTTCATAAGCAAAAGACCTCTTAGCTAGCCGGGGCAGGCGTGTAACCTGATGTGCCCATCTCATTTATTCACTGTCGACTATTACTCTTTTTCATAGTACAGTATTTTAAGTTTCCTCACTCCGATTAATTGTAGAACAAGAATGCTCGGACAAAAGTTCCTCACTGAGGCGAGGGTTGCCTATTAGACTAGATGACCAATGGAAAGCGGATCCAACTCTCTATCTGCAAGGCTAAATCAATAATTCAAGTCGCACACTCCCGTAATCCGCCTTATTTTCTTTCCATCCCAAAGCAGGTCGAGCCCACTTCTGAACCACAGCCGATGGGTCCTCCGATCCTGAGCTGGAATCTACAGAGATTTAATGAGCTCATCAACCAATTCATATTTCTTGTTCACAGAACAGATTTATGGTCAAAGAGAACAACCGCGTCAGAATTTAGTCTGTTCATAAATGGCGACACATGCACATTGCAAACAAATCAGTTGCTCGCATGATGTGCAATTGAACATTTCTAACGGTCAGAAAATTTCAATCTGTAGTGTTTAGATTGCAGGGAGCATAGACTATCTTGTTTCTGCACAAAAGCCCCAGCTTTTACTGAAAGCATAAATGTGTACTATAGACCATCTAGTTTCTGTAACACTAATAAATCTTGTTGAAATGGATTAAGCTATGCGACGCACAATCCTAACATCATGGCGAACCTCATGAATTCGGTAATCTTACGAGTGTAAGCCAAGCTTAAATGGGTAAATAAGGCTGAGTACATGCAATTGGTATCCCCTCTGTATCACATTTCAGCGCACAAATCTCCTGCTCAGGTGAAGCAATTTTCTTCAATGTCCTCACTCATTGTCAGTACAAGAACTTCAATGTCCTCAACTCGGTCACACGTACTTCACTGCACCTTTCACCCAGCAGTTTTACGAGATATTACTGTTACAGTACAGTACTATCTTGATGTACACTACGGCACGGTGAGTTGATGATAACCTGAGCCCCCAAGCAGAGCCTGAGAGGACATGGACTGACCAGACGACGGCTGAATCTAAACCATTTTGAATTTAGCTCATGTTTCATATCTGCATCATTCCATAACGATTCTTCCTTCGGCAATCTATCCATCAAATGGATATGTGAAGAAGACTTAAGGTTCCCGCTGATGTTAGATCCCCAAATGAAGAATCGAACATGGAACAGCAGAAATTCCTACCGTCTCCTATTCCTACGTGCCACACATTTGGCTGAGGCTGTGAAAAGACGAAGAAATATTAGATAGTACTAGAATTTCATGATAAAATATATATATCTTGTGCCTCTTTTCCGTCTTTATCTACCTCGAACAGAAACATGTATGTGCAATTTATGTAGATAGCTAGAAGCTAGGCAACTCACGTATAAATAGAGCACCACCAGTCACCCACTTTCCATGGCCAGAGTTTAGTACATTATCAATTTTTTGTCTAACAGGGTACACAAATTGAAACCAAATCTTGGAAACAAACACTACCGACACAACAATTTGGGATGGCCACATTGTTTTTTTATTCATAACAGTTAGGTAAATTTTATTGTAGGACATCGTGACTTTGTGTTTTAGCTCTAGACAATGTCAAAAGTTGATATTTGGAAAAATACACTCCCAAAAGGTGGTTATTTGCTGATGGATACCACAAATATTAAAATATTGTTTTCTGGTTGTATACGAGAGAAAAAGCGTGAAATGTCAAAAATGCCCCCGCGGGCCCACTTATCGTTTTCTTCCCCCACATCTCAGTCCCTCTCACACTTTGGCCACAGCACCATTTCCGCTTGCCGCCGGCGACCACCCCGGCCCTCCCTCTTAGCCTCCTCTATGGCAGCGTGGCTTGACTTCCCTCGTCGCGTTTGGGCGGCAGTGTGGCCTAGCTCCCCTCGGCGCACACGTGTAGTGATGCGGTCCGTCTTCCCTCGGCGCGCGCTGGCAGCGACGCGGCCCCGCTCCCCGGCGCGGGGCTGAGGCATCGAGCGGTGTCAACCCTAAGCTGCCTTCAAGTGAAGAAGGTGGAAGGGGATTATGGCACTGGTGCTAGGGGTAGGGAGAGCGACCAAGAGAGAGCGGCGCCGGTCTGACGTAGGAGGAGGGAGTGTGGCACCAACTGACGGCTGAGAAGAGGAAGGAGCTGGCTGAGGGGATTGAAAAAGAGAGATTCGAAGGTGCAATTTGTTCACAATGCGTTGAAAAGTGGGCCTGCTCTCGCCAAGTTAGCACTAAAACACTAAATAAATAGGTGCAGTGTTCGCTAACAAATAATAAAGTATCTTCCCCTATAAGTGACTTTGTGCGGTGTTCCTCTGCTAGAGAAAGTACCGTGAAAAGAGGTATATATGACGGTATATGAGCTGGTATAAAAGCACAAAATGTTATTCCAAGTCTAGCCTATGCAATAATAAACAATAACATTCATCATTTTAGTTGTCGTTGAATAGATAATAAGATATATAAAGCCAAAGGAAGAAAGAAACATTAAGAGTACTGCCCATGCCAACTTGCCAACCTATCTGGAGATCTTCATATTTGAAGCCACAGCTTTCGTACCTGCAGAATATGATGAATTAAACAAGCAACGGAACTGGCCGTCAAAACATTTACCGACACCGGAACTTAATTATATTTTTGATGGATCAGCCGTACAACTGTAGAATGGTTTTGTACAGGGACGACGCCAGCACAAAGTTGCAATACACTGTTCAAAATCGCCAGGACAATGGTTCAACAACTCAAACTCCAATTCTTGTGATATGCATCACAAACATGCCGGATGAGCCCAATCACAATATTGAAGCTTCCGATGATAACACACATCGTGTTAGCTTTCATTAATTGTATCCGCACATTGTCCTCACAAACAATGATAGACTAGCATGCTCAACACGAACGTCTTGGATCTTTCGAGTTTTTCGACCCCATGTGTTCACAGTGGCAAATTTCAATGCAAGCTATCATGTTCTAGCTTTGTGTAACCCTACTGCCATAAGTAAAGTTCATCGGCCACTTTTCCTACTGCAAATGAAATTCCTAATGCCCCCCATATTACAACAAGCTCATGCAGCGTGATGTACGCTCAAAGATGCTATAGGGTGCCAACCCAAGTACGCCTTTAAGCTCGTAAATTTGTCATTGATATCGAATGCATCTCAACCACCAGCCAACGTTTTGTTGTGGTCGACCTAACATGGCATACATATACCACTTTATTTATATATTCATTTTGATGTTGTTAGTATGGTAGCACTGCACAACGCGTGTTGGCACGTACCTAAGGACATCTATAGTTTTTGGTTTGACCAGTCCGATCAACAAGCCAAACAAAATTTCAGTTCTGTAGATGCAGAATTAAAATCTATTTGTGGGATCCACGCAAAGGAATCACCCAATCACCAGTCCGTTCTCCATGCATGCATGCATGACAAATAATTTCCTATTCATTCGTTGGATTACAATTTAGAGTTCGATAGCTGCAGCTGGTAGAATAGGTGGTGAATAACAAGTTCTATTTGATTACATTTGGACTTGGAGTCGTAATAGCTGGTAGCTGGTGGAGTTAAAGTTGGACTCTGTAATCCGATAACTCTCTTTAATAGAGAGGGGGGCAACACAATGTAACCATAGCGACTACAATATAGCATAGACACGCAGGGAGATGATAGCGGCGAGACCATGGACTCGTAGCGGCTTAGAGATATATTGGTTGGGGAGGAACGCCCATAATCAGAGCCCCGGAGATATAGGCTTCGGATGAACTTCGTTAACAAATATCGTGTGTTACTGTGTCTTCATCTGACGTGTCTTGGGTGGTCAATGGCTGAAGCAATTTAGAAGGTTAGTCATTGTTCCGCTATAACGACTAAATTTTGTAACAGCAGCATGGTTCGATTCTTCTGGTAAAAAATCGATTTTGCCTTCACCAAGTAGATGCTCCAGGGATTCTCTCTACGACGTCAAGTACAAGTGTTGTACTGTTTCATATTGGTCGAGTGTTGTAGCAGGAGGCATACAACATTCTCCTATTCAACCGAAATACTCTCATTCACTTACCAAAGAGGCTTTTACTCACAGCAAATACTTCTCGGCCTAATGTGACAGGAAAATACTAAAAGACTGACGCACGCGGTAAGAAGACCAGTCTAGAAAGGAGTATTTTAGACTACCACAAGAGAAAAATACCATTCAACTAGGTAGATGAAGCCTGAAGTTAAGGTCGTTGAGAGAGTAATATTCCCCAAGAATATATAGTGGGGAGCATTCCAACCACCCCCAAAGCTAGCACAAGGTGTTTCGAGGGACCACACACATGTGCAACCATACCCCTTTGGATTTCTAACTTTACATGGGTATTGTAGTATCTTCCTGTGTATCCTTGGGGTAGGATTGTAATATCACATGTTCCTTGGAAGGCTATATAAGCTGGTCTCAATATAATCAGACACGAGATGAGAGATATCAGAATACCATAAGACACATGAGACTCCATGTCGACAAATATTGGACCCCATGTCGACAAACCTGCAAGCCTCGTCCATCCGCACACTACTCGGCCCAGCCTGCTGCTCGGCAGGATGTGTAAGCATGGCGTCTAGAGTGGCGTGGCTAATTCGCGTGCACGCGCCAGCAACGTTGCTGGCGCGCGTGCCAGGTGGCAGGATTGCCCCCTCCCCGCCTCGTGATTTTTTTCGCTTTCTCACGATTTTTTTCGTTCCCTTTTACGATTTTTTCTGATTATTTTTTTAAATCTCCAGTACACGTGTTTTCAAATATTTTGTGTTGAAAGTTTTTAAATCTTAACTTAAAAATTTTCAAATCTGGACTTCAAAGTTTTCGAATCTCGAGTTGAAAGTTTTCAAATCTGAGTTGAAAGATTTTAAATCTCGAGTTGAAAGTTTTTCAAATCTCGAGATGGATGTTTTCAAATCGAGTTGAAAGTTTTCAAAATTTGTCTTGCAAATTTATATTTTGAGTTGAAAATTAAGTTTTCAAAGTTTGAGTTCAAAATTTTAAAAATTGACTTCAAAGTTTAAATCTTAAGTCGAAAGTTATCAAATATAATTTAAAAGTTTCCAATCTGTTAGTAAAAAAATTTCGAAAAAAAAGAAAATCTTTTTCTTAATTACTGTCATTATCTTAACTAAATGGGTTAGTTACAGTAACACCCGCGGAAAGCTCCGTTAGCGGCGCGCACACGCCAGCTAGCTTTCGCGCAGCCCGCATGGCATGGATGAGTGCCGCTGAATGTACAAGTCAGGGCAGTAATTAATGGACTGCCCAGTCCAGTGTGGCTTTCCCGTGTGTCTCGTGAGGTCATGAGTTCACGTCTTCCCGAGGCAACATGGCTAATTTTACAAACAGGGAAACTTTATTAGGTGAACCAGGAAAAAACTGTTTTTTGTAAATAATTTTTACGATATGTAGCTGATGATTAGTCCACTGTGGCATGAACATCGGCTTAATTTGAGCCAGGGTGGGCAGCTGCTGTTCATAGTAGGTCCATAGTTTTTTTTTCTAGTTGTTATCATAGATTCTGAAGATATAATCAACACTTAATTATTTTAATGACTATTTTTTGGACGGCAAAATTTGCTACAGGACATCTAAAAAACGGGTAATTAGCTGGGAGACATCGCAAGATCGCGTATTTGCTAAAGGGCACCACAAAAAAAGGTAATTAGCTGCTGGACACCCGTGCGATTATTTTATTATTTTCGGAGGAATAGTAGAGAGAAACAATCATTAAAGACAAGTTTGCCCTTTGCTCAAATGAATCCAACGTGGGTCCCACATGTAAATCCCTCTCTCTTTTTGTAGATGGGGTGGCGGAGCGGCGACACACCGGAGCCGACGAAGGGTGGCAGGCGGTGGTGTTGCTGATCCCATCCGTTTCTCCACCCAGACGCATCGCCCACCCTGACTCTCCACTCCAACACCATCCAAACCGAGGAGAGGACCCCTGCTGCTCTCTCCCATCTCAAATTCGCCGCTAGCTGTGAGGAACACGAAGGCCGCCATTGCGGACAAGCCATCGCCATCGCCAACTCTTTCCTATTCTATATTCCCCTCACCATGCTGAGAATATTTCTTTTTGACGCCACTCTATTTCATCCATTGCAATGACAGGAACGCTGTCGTGTCATCGCCGACTCTAGAGCGAGCACCGAGTGCCACCGCCGCATCTCTGTCATTGCGCCGGCCACCGTGGACAAACCAAGCCAAGCCACCGCGCCAGCATATTCTCCTCGGCATCCTCTTCAGAAGCCCCCAAGAATCCCCGAGAACCGAGCGTCGAGCAGGGAGAACGGACGTTTTCTTCCCAAGCACCGACCACCGTCTCCATCTCAGATTCCGTCGCCTCCGATGAGCCAAGTTTCAATTCCTCGCATGAATAGCTTCTTAGGGACCTCTCTAACCCTTTGGGGAGATTTAACCGTCGCTGTTTTCCAGAGATGAAGCGCCGCCGCCAAGCTACTACACGTGCTGCTGCTGGATAGGGATTTCAGGTATGGGGTGAACAACGAGTGCCCTGCCAGGCTGCCACCACCACCGTCGTTGCTTCCCAGCGCCGCTTGGCCGCCGCTGCAACCAGCCGAAGCCGTCGTCGTTGCCAGAAGAAGGCAAGAGGAAAGGAAGGAGTAGAGAATGATAGAGAAAACTGAAAAAAAAATCATACTTACTCATGTGTTCGAAGGGTAGAATCGTACTTACATATGTGTTTCTCTCTCTAATTCCTTCGGATATAATAAAATAATCCCACGAGTGTCCAGTAGCTAATTACCAGCTTTTTACGGTGCCCTATAGCAGATACGCGTTCCTGCGATGTCTCCTAGCTAATTACGTGTTTTTTTGAATGTCCTATAGCAAATTTTGCCTTTTTTGACAACCCTGAATGATGGTTAAAAATGGTCTGTGGCTTTCTATTCCTGCAGCGCTGTTAATTTTTTATTAGAAACACAGTACAAACACATGCGCACACGATGCGCGATTGCACTAATTCTGAAATGTTAGTTTTATTTCATAAACAGCTGTACTACTACTTATTTGACATATATTGCCAATATCACTTCACTATAAAAATATTTATACACCGGACCATATGATTTACTGCCTCCGTGTCTATATATTTGATGCCGTTGACTTTTTTAAACATGTTTAACTATTCGTCTTATTCAAAAACTTCTGTGAAATATGTAAAACTATATGTATACATAAAAGTATATTTAACAATGAATCAAATGAAAAGAAAAGAATTAATAATTACTTAAACTAGCCGTCAACCCGTGCGTTGCACGGGCTATTGTTATTAATATTAACACATATCAAAATATATTAATTATATGTTGAGTACATTAGTTATTAAATTTAATTGAAAGTTATATGTAAACTTTTTGTTGAAGTATCCGTTGTAATTTTTCATAACACAATAATTCTAAAATTCAGAATGAATAAATAGAACAAAGTAGAATTTGTATGGAGCAGAAATTAATAAATATATAAGAGTCATACTTAGAGTGGATTTATGGATGAAATATTTTTTTTCGTCATAAAATAATTCAAAAATCCAGAGTTGACAAATAAAAGCACCCTACATGGCAATACAATTTAAATTTCTCATGATTTGATATTTCGAGACACATAATTCATAAACATGTCAAATTGTAATAAAAATCTCTAAATTCTGAATTTTAACATTTCCTCTAATTTCTAAATTTTAATATCCATTATTTAATAACATGGAAATTTAAATTTAGAATTAGCTAATCGTTGTTCTTTTCTAAGCTGAGTTTATAATTTGCTGTCGCCTAGATAGATGAAGTATTTAAATTAAAAATGTTATTTTTTGGCATTTAGTCGAAAATGGAAATTTAGCTCACTATAAGAAAGTACTATATCTCTTTCAAAGCTCTGCTGCTCCAGGAATATCAGATGAATATAATAAGGACTGTACACATAATCTTTTCAATCAATTATAATGCATACTGGTTATAAAATCCAATTATAAATTTTATGATTTCATAATTATGAAAATAATGAATAATACATTGGAGTTGTACTTGGTTTGGAGTTCACATAATTTACAACTTGCTAAGTATGCATTTAAAACATTGCAATTAAATTAACAAATTTATATCCCATGCTACTTTTCATGTCATATTTTAATTTACATGAATCATAATAGATCGAAGATCATAGTAATGCGATCCACCTAATCAACGGTGGTAAGTAAGATCTTTTTGTCTAATGTGCGAGCATCCTCGAAGTGTCCAATTAATATTGGTTTTCATACAAATTCTTGATTGATCAAAGGGCATTGGTAATACGATCGACCTAATAAACTACCAGATCTTTAGATAGTTATCGTTATAGTAAACATGAGAGCTCTCTCGGAATGCCTATAAATATGAACATTATTTGTGAGGGGAATATTTATACCGACCTCTTTTGTTAATAATTATCATGTCGGTTACGATTTATGCCATAACAAAGTCTGATTATCCTGACCTTGACTTTGGACGCTTCCTTCGCATCATCAACAGCTTGAACAATGTCATATGCTACTGTAGTTTTGGTAGAAGAAAAGGTAAGCTGCAGACTACATGCAGTGCATACGAACGTACATACCGACAGGAAATATGGAAAATTAAATATTATTTGCTAGTTTATATTTAGAGAAAAAACATAGATAAGGGTTCTGTGATCTGTCGACTGACCTGGTTACCGGATTATTAGCACGGCTCATCAATAGGTTAAGATCAACAGCTGTGTCATTATTTCAGTCAAAATCAGTAATCGATAATTAGTTCTTAAACAGATTGCAACATGTATATTCAACGAATACCGTACAGCTCGCTGGGAAACGATGCTCAGTAATTCATTACTCAAAAGTCCAAACAAATCAAAAATCAATTAATTTGACTGTATACTTAGCAAGGTTTGATTATTTGTTTAACATGCAAGTTTGACTGTACCAGCGTGAATTGGGGAGCGGTGCAGATGTGCTCGATTTTTCGATCGGCATCTGGACTTCTCAAATTTATTGGGTTGGATGATGATGTTTCAGATGAGTCTGAATCAAAATCAATAAAAAACCAATCTGTCAAAGATTGAGGTAAAATAGTAGCTGAGTTAGAGAGGTTTTGAGATTCAAAATTGTCACAAATCGTGCGGAGTATCTCGTGGTCGCTGGAGTCCTCTCTCCCACATCTCTGTCGTTAATTGCTATCGGAGAGATGAGATCGATATGTATCTCCCTAGATTACTGCCGATCAGTGAGTGGTAGAGAAAAAATAGATGGGCTGAAAGAGCCCATGAAGATAGAAGGCAAATTATAGCCCACCACGTTAGATTTGTACGTACGGCCATGATATTAAAATTAATTTAATCAACGGTGATTTCTCCAGTTAACGTGGAAGCTTGTAGAAAGTGCCTAATTAGTAGAGGTATAGATTTTTTTGAATAAGACGAATGATCAAACATGTTTAAAAAAATTAACAGCGTCAAATATTTAGGGACGGAGGGAGTATAATCTAGCAACAAGATTGGACTACAATTAACTCCAAAGCGTCCAAGGCCACCATGTGAACACTTCTTTTTCGCTGGACTGGTGGATGGACGCTGGTCAATTTTTGTTGAGCATAAAAGAGGGCAACCAAGCAGTTTTACACCAACGGGGTTATTAGGGAGCACCGCAGCACAGCACTTGAGCAACGTTGGAGGCTTGGAGCACCCAAGGAACAGCTACTGCAACAGCTGGAAACACTGCAAACAGCGAACTACAGATACATCTTGGTTATCAACTCCTGAAGAAAAGGCAATGTGTAAAGCCACAGCAGAAATTCCAAGTGCCTCACATTCCTGACAAGAATTTCTCATGGTTAACTGATACGATTTCCTCTCCTCTCCTCTCCCATTCTTACACTACTTAAAAAGCCATTCTTTGTGACACCACTCTTTTATTTTCTAGCGGTTTTATTAAACACACGCTTGTAAAAATATATTGGGGGTATTTTGGTCACGAATCACTAGTGAAAATCGACATCACTTCATAGGCCCGCTTGTAAAGATAGGGTTACTTTTACAAGCGGGTGGCTTAAATGACAGCCAGCAAAAATCTTATTTGTGCTGACGGCTGATTAAGAGCACCGCTTGAAAAAAAATATTATGGTATTAAAAGAGAGACTCCGAGGCGCATCTCTTTTTTTTTTGTCCTGTCACCACTCCCCCTTTTACCTCTCATTCCTCCCTCTCTCTTTCTACTCCCTCCAGTGGGCCACGACCACGGCAGCCGCCGAGTGCTCTCAGCGATGGCCAAGACGGCGACGACCACGCAGTGTGCGGGCAGCAGCAAGGTTGGTGGGTGGTGCACAGGCAATGCCGAGGCTGGTCAGTGGCAGATCCGGTGGTGGGAGGCACATGGGCAGTGGGTCCAGCGATAAAGAGGATTGCGGGCAGCGGATCTGGCGGCGGGAAGGGCCGAGGCTGGTGAACAGCGGATCCGTCTGTGGGAGGAGAGTGGTGTGGGCGGTGGCGAGGTTGGTGGGTAGCAGATCTGGCTGCAGGAGGCGCATGGGCAGCAGATCTTGTGACGAAGAGGCTTGTGGGTGGCGGGAAGGCTTGAAGGCGTGGATTCGGCAGCCCAGTGGAGCACGGATAATGGCCAAGAGGCCAAAACAGGGTTACGGGCACGGTGGGGTGTCCTAGAGGGGGTTCAGGTCCACCGCCAGCCAGCCACGGCCTCCCTCGCCGAATCTATCCTTCCTCATCCCTCCCTCGATGACGGCAAATTGGCTCCATTCCTCACCGACAGCAACTTGGTGATAGCATAGGCCACCAACGACGCGTGCGAGGACTGTAATTGGGGATTTGGAACAATGATTTGCGATTTGGGAATTTGTGATTTTCTGTCGGCTGTTTTGGACCTGGATTTTTATTTTTCTTCTCCAAAAAGTATTTTTTGTGGCGGGTCTCTTAACATTGCCGCCAACTAAAATCGATTTTCGTTGGTAGACATCCTAGCTTGGCCACAAGTGAAAATTGATTTTTGCCGGCAGCCGACTGCCCATCACTATAGGGTTGAAACTGGTACATATAGTTTCGGTCTATCCGGACTATTTTTCGGATTCGGATAGGTTCGGTTGGAATTATCCAGAAATTCTCGGGTTCGGAAATGAATTTGGATTTTTCTTGGAAACAAAAACGAATATAGTAAGGGTACTATCCGTCTGAATCAGAAAATGGTCGGATTTCGCATACATGGATTAAATTTTAGACACAACACGTATATACACATTACTTTTTCATACAAAGTCAGATGAAGTCAAACTTTATATTAAAATTGTAGTGCTCGATGAGATCTACAACATTCTTGTTGACTATGTTATTATTTGAGATCATTTAAGGGTCTAAATACCATATATGTTTTTACAAAGTCTCAGATATACAATTCAAATGACATTTGATGGAGATGTGTTCCATATCAAAGTTGTAGAGCTAAATGGGATCTTCCGCTTTGTAGTTTATAATATTTGTATTTGAAAATATTTAAAGTATAAAACAAACTCTACAAGTTTCGAAGATGTGAAATAAAATAAATAATATATCCAATTTATACAGCAAGAACTTGATAAGTGATATGATAAGTAAGCTATACATGTAGTAAAAGATTTTGGGATTATTCATATTTACATGTCGGTCTCTTGGAGGAACGTGCATGAAAATCGATTTTCACATATGGTTGTGGGACCACCTACAATATCGAGGATATAAATATTGGAGACGTTGATCAAAAAAAATAAGCGATATCTCTTCCTTGATTAAGGAAACTCAATTTGAGGGGATTTTTATATACCAATAAATATTCGTTGCCGTAGTCGTTCCGTATCTATATTCGATAATATTCGATTCGATTTTATTTCTGTATCCGGGTTTTAGATTCCAATTTTGATCCCAGAAAAATGAAAACAAATATGATAAAGCTAGTTTCCACCTGTTTCCAATCTATTTTCATCCCTGCCCACCAGCACAAATGTATTATTTTCATTGGCCTTATGTCGCTGGAGGACTGCCAGCGAAAATCTATTTTGTCCTTCAGCGAAAATTATTTTGTAAGTACTGACAGTCGTTTTATAGTGTTTTAAACGGTCCATACTATTGATTCATATGAAGTATCTTATTAATGCTGATCTTATATCACCAACCATCCCATTGTTCCTTTCCGTATTGTAAACATCTTCAACCAATTAATTAGCATAAGTGAATTATTTTTTGTGGTTTACCCTGAAAGGGGTTAATAAGCCTCAGTCAGTTTACCTAAAAAAATTGCTGGATACCATGGATGAGCCTGGTACAAATGATATTAAGAAGAAATTAATATGACCATGATCTAGAGTCGAGCACGGGCAGAGTGGTAACAACAGCCCATGATTCATCTGCGCTATCATAGTTTTATTATCAGCCAATTTACATCGATTTGAAGTCTTTTTTATAATAAACTACAACACTTCTACATGGTCAGATTGAAGTAATTATCGACAAGAATGAGATTTGCTCCGGTCTTTAAAAAAAAAATACCTCAAGGTTACGGTACCTCACGGTACCAAATTATTTCCGATCGATTGGAACTAAAATACCCATACCCATCCTGGAACGGAGCAAATCTTGACAAGAATATTTGAACGGCATGATTTGATTTGATTTATGTTCGAGGCATTGCCTCGATCGGGAGCACATACTTGGATGGGTGACGTTTCTGGTCTTTCCCCTTGAAGGACTGCGTCCTCATCTCGCTTTGAAGTGAAGACATTAGCCAGAGCAGAGAATGGAAGACAGGTCAACATCACTAACACCTAACAAATCATGTCAGTTAACCTTCAATTGTAAACAATGGCTAACTTGCTGTTAGCGTCATGGAACAATTGATATTCCTGCTGTCTCTCACTCCGATGGACAACAATAATGTCCTCTGCAACCGAAGCAAGTTCTCTTCCCTGTCCTCACCCATTTACATTCAAACAGGCTGATTTGCTGTGCAGCTCAAGTTCAATTTGGCGTGCTGACACGCGCGTTACTTATATACGCAATATGTACGGAACTCAGTTATAAACAGTACCATCCACCCATGGAGTGATTCTCCAAGGGAATTCATATCAAGCAATGCACACATTTCGGGAGATAGCTCTTTCATGTCAGTATTAAGAAATCACTCCCATAATCTGTCCTGATAATAATGACATTTTTCGACTCCCATAACTTCTTGCAATATGTTCAAAGACATAGTACATCTCAACATTTTTTTTTTTTACGAAAGAGCCAAAATCTGTTGATACAACTTAAAGAGATGAACCCAAACTGCATTCTTACACATAGACGTAGACTCAACAATCAATCCAACAACAGGAATAGCACAAATCAAATCTAAACAAAACAATAATTTCACTACAACGCAAAGAATCTATTATATACTAAAAGTCCATTAAGCTTCCTCAAAACGCTCTCAAGCCGCTACGTGGCGCTCTAATAAATTAGAGAAAATTCTAAAAAATATGAGAAAAAAGTAAAACATCTATCACTCGATTTTCACTGAAATCGGTGGGTCCAATGTTATAAACCGTTAGATTAGGTTTATCTCAAGACTACTCCTCTGTTCCGTTCTATATATAGGTACGTATTGCCGGCCTCCATCCTTGTGTTGATCCGATCCATATAGTTACGGTACTGCTTGCATGCGTTCCGTTAAAGGAGTGTACGTACATAAACTTTCTTTTTTTTTTCCAGGTACGTACGTTACTATTCTTTCTTTTTTTTTCAGGCATATAATTGAGATAATAATAATAATAATAATAATAATAATAATAATAATTATTAGTGATAATAAATTTTGAATAAAAATACTTTATAAATATAGAATATACAGCATATAAATCTCTTCAAGTAGACATAAATAAATTAGCTCTACAATGTTTGAAAACAAAGTTCCACAATTATGTTATATTATGTACCCATTATTTTAGGTTATTTTGTAACAAAAACATTTGTCCATCGATATTCACTTAAATCGGTCCTAAGTTGCCACGTGGCACCACTACAAACAAAACTAAGCTACCACGTGGCGCTCTCATAAATAATAAAAAAATTTAAAAAAGCAAAATATCGGACCTTAAAATATTCACTTAAATTAGTGTGCCTGATAATTTTAGGTAAGTCCGTACTTATGAACGTACGAAACCGCTCACCCTGATCACGTCCGTATTTCTCTTCTTTCCCTTTTATAATTTCTGAGGATAATTGAAATAACATTAATTATTAGAATAAAACAATTATAACTTTGCAAA